CCCCATACGTCCAGATTTGCCTGGACGCTGCCTTTAAAGTAAAGCTTCAATCAAGCTCAGGAAAACTGTCTCTGATATATCCGACATTTACACTATACCTTACAATCTCAACGTTCGCCCATTATTAACGAAACTTTTTCAGAGATTTCCGGGATCTTTTTAGATATACAGTTCTTGGAGATATGTTCCTCCTACCATAAACGCCTGCCTTGCAAGAATCTATGAGATGATAAATTACTAGCTTATAACATTTACCTAGATTCTGAGTAGCGTTCTTTGATTGCGGAAATGTCGTATCCAAAATAAGTTACAGCTACTAGGATAATATACAGGTATCCCTTTACAGAAATTCCGCGAACATAGCCTTTCTGGCAGCAGGGTGTCGGTGACCCTACCGATATAGGCAAATCGCTGATAATTCGCTCCCGCCACTCCCATTTGCCTTCACATTGCAATACAGCAAAATGACAATCTGCTGTGAAGTACCATTTCTGACAAGCACATTTGGAAGGTCACGATCATTTCTCTCCCCTTTACCAAAAATTACAAACTTACGAATGCATATTCGTGGATCAGTGGAGAAATTTTCAATTGAAACAGCATATGGCAACAGTATAGGACGAAATAAGTATTCATATTCATACTCCTCATCGCTAGACTCCTGACGGCGTGAATACCAAACAGAATTGGATGAAGGCATCTCTCACATGTGGGCCAGGTGACCGCGCCAGGTAAGAGTATGGGAGGCAAGTAAGAGGAAGGGGGAGGAGGTGGAGAAGCAGATTACTTCCGCTGCGAGGAGAACTATGGGATTGGAACTCACCGGAGCGCACTTGGTTCGCCGCACTGTTTACTCGATCGCAATACGCTGGCTCCTCCGAGTTTTCAGCTTCATTTTGAGCTGCCATGAGAACACGGTTACCGAGGCGAGCAATCTAAAATGTGGGGAGAATTGCAGTGATGACCGCGAGTGAACAAAAAGGGTGAAACATACCTGAGATGTATTGTCGACCATACCCTGTGGATAATTGTCAGCAATAGCATCTTCACATCGGTTTGTGTAACGACGCATAGCCTGGAAGGAGGGAAATATTAAGTACGAATAACGTGGAACAAATAAAGAAAGAATTGGCGTAAGTTATTAGGGAGCTATAGGATTATGCAAATTAAAATCTTTTTTCTTCCTCAGTCCCGGCCCCGATATTCCATATGTGTAGGCGATCAGGGGAGTAAAGAATTCCCGAGATAACTACCATCTTGATAGGTAGAATAACAACATAAGAAAACATTGCGATGACATTTCTAACAACATATTCTCTTCAATTTCCTTTTTTCCTCATCCTTGCACCCAAGTCAGAAATTTTAAATGATGCGCATGATGCGCATCATTTTTCGTTGCAGGAGCACATTAGCATGAGCAGCTACAAAAGCCATAAACGTTGCGTTTCATCCCTCAGAGCAGACTCGAAAAGATTGTCTTGAAGTTTTTGATCTGACTCATAGAACGAAGTAAATGAGATTGTTTGGCATGTCCAGTTTATAAACGAAA